TATACTCAGAGGTAAACAAGGTAATTTACAATGTTCTTGTAAGTTTCACTTGTTTTGGCAGCACTTTCTGTACCTCCCACAGCCCATTAGCTAGCAAGGAAAGATCTAGGGAGCTTCACAAGATCAAGTTTAATTATGCTAAGAGGGCTGTGCCCTCTAAGCTGGGACTTGTTTGTGGCTTTGCCAACAGGTCAGTCAGAGGCTTAACTCTATAATTTCTCCCTACAACCAGAGAGGTAAAATACCTATACTCAGAAAATTATAGAATGTTGAAGAAAGAGTTGGAGGAAGATATAAACAAGTGGAAGTATATAACTTGTTTATGGATTGGTAGAATTAACATAATTACAATGTCCATATTACCCAAAGCAATCTATAAATTCAATACAATCCCTATTAAAATACCAATGGCATATTTCATAGATCTAGAACAAATACTACACAATTTTATATGGAACCAAAAAAGACCCCAAATAGATGCAATAATCTTGAAAAAGAACAAATTTGAAGGAATTGCAATACTAAATATCAAGTTATACTACAAAGGCATGTTACTCAAAATAGCATGGTACTGGCACAAGAACAGGCATACAGTTCAATGGAACAGAACAGAGAACATAGCAATCAACCCAAGCCATTATGCTCAATTAATATTTGACAAAGGAGATAGGAGCATACATGGAGTAAAGACAATTTCTTCAATAAATGGTGTTGGGAAAATTGGATAGGTACATCCAAAATAATGAAACTAGACCATCAACTTATACCATACACAAGAATAAAGTCAAAATGGATAAAAGAGTTAATGTAAGTCAGGAAACCATAAAAATCCTTGAAGAAAACCTAAGCAGTGAAATCTCAAACATCTCTTGTAGCAATATGTTTATGTATACATCTCCTAGGCCACTGGTCGGCAAACTCATTAGTCAACAGAGCCAAATATCAACAGTACAACGTTTGAAATTTCTTTTGAGAGCCAAATTTTTTAAACGTAAACTTCTTCTAACGCCACTTCTTCAAAATAGACTTGCTCAGGCCATGGTATTTTGTGGAAGAGTCACACTCAAGGGGTCAAAGAGCCACATGTGGCTCACTAGCTGCAGTTTGCTGACCACGGTCCTAGGCCAAAAGAAACAATGAAAAAAACAAATGAGACTACATGAAAATAAAATGCTTCTGCACAGCAAAAGAAACCATCAACAAAATAAAAAAAAGAGCCCACTGCATGGGAGAACATATTTACAAATGATACAGCCTATAAAGTATTAATTTCCAAAATACATAAAGAACTCATACATGTTAACAAAAGGAAGACAAACAATCCAATTTAAAAAATGGGCAAAGGACCTAAATAGACACTCCTCCAACGCAGACATACAGAAGGCCAAGAGACATATGAAAAAATGCTCAAAGTCACTGATCATCTGAGAGTTGCAAATTGAAAGAAGAAAGAAGTATTACCTCACACCTATTAGAATGATTTTCATTAAGAAATCAACAAAAGGCAAATGTGGAGAAAAGGGAACCCTAGTATACTGCTGGTGAGAATGCAGTCTGGTGCAACCACTATGAAAAACAATTTGGAGTTTCCTTTAAAAAATTAATAATGGCACTCCTATTTGAACCAGTAATCCCACTTCCAAGAATATATCCTAAGAAACCAGAAACACCAATCAGAAATAATATACACACCCCTATGTTCATAGCAGCTCAACTTACAATAGCTGAGATTGTAAAGATCTGAAAACAGCCCAAGAGTCCATCAGCAGATGAGGTGATTAAAAATGATGGTACAAGTTTGGCTCAGTGGATAGAGCATGGGCCTGCAGACTTAAGGGTCCCAGATTCAATTCCTGTCAAGGGCATGTAGGTTGGTTGTGGGCAGGATGTTTCTAACTCTCTCTCCCTCTCCCTTCCTCTCTGTAAAAAATCAATAAAATATATTTTAAAAAATGATTGTACATTTACACAATGAAATACTATGCAGTTGTAAAAAAACAGAAAGAACTCTTATCATTTGCAACAGCATGGATGGACCTGGGGAGTATTATGTTAAGCAAAATAAGTCAGAGAAAGACAAGTATCACTTGATCTCACTCATATGTAGAATCTAATGAACAAAGGAAACAAACAAATGAAATTAATTGATCCAGAGACATAGGATCATGAAACAGACTGGCGAATTTCAGAGAGAAGAGGGGGATAGGAGATGGGGTGGGGAGTGATTAGTAGGGTAACTTATATGCTTATATGGACATAGACAAATGAGTGGTGAAGGTCAGAGAGGAGTGGGTGCAGGGTACAGGTGGTCAATGGGAAAAACAAACAAACAAACAAACAAACAAACAAAGGAAACATATGTGAATATTTCAACAATAAATAAAAATAACCATGTACATCCCTCAGTGGATTATCCATTTCAACATTTCTACTGCATATGAAGCCATGTGTTTTTCCTCTAGGGAACCAATGTGAGGTACCAGATCAAAAGCAATTGTAATCTTCTGAGGGCAATGGTACAACTCAGTTTCTCCATTAAGCTGCTAAAAGCCGGGTAGAAAGAACATGGTAAACTGAGTCCAGTAAAACCCCTGAGCCCTACTACCAGAAGATGACTGTTATTTGTTTCCTTTTCATTTTGGGGGAGCAAGGGGCAGCCTCTTTGAACTGTGTTTGTAACCAAGTCAGCACAGCCAGTAATGAAATAGATAAAAGACAAAGTTTCAGCTGTTAAAGTTCACACTACTCATTTTACAATGAGAAAAGCAAAGGTCCCAAAAAGTATAGCAATTTTCTCAGCGTGAGCCAGCAAACACAGTGACAGGGCAGTTCTACTGACTCTTACACTAGCATTCTTTCTAATAGTTCTGAGCTGTGATAATGAAGATAAAATCAGCCTGGCAGTTCCCCTAGCATCTAGAATTCCTAGTCTAGACAAGCAGCATATGAGATTAGCTGTTAAATGCACTTTTAAATTATTTTATCTGCATGGTGATGATATTCTTTACAAACTTGATATTTCATGGGTAAGGGCCAATAGGGAGACACAAAGATGTTTCTAAAGCACCAAGACCATTCACAGAGTGAAAAAAAAGTTGGCTGTGGCTGATATATTTAAAGATTTTGACCTCTGTGTTCTCTGGACTGTCCCTTCCCCCCCATACGCTTTATTTTTGTTTCATTATTTCTCTTCTTTTGTATTCCCCTTTTCTTTTTTTAATCCTTCAGCCTGGGATCTAGGCCTACCCTCTTCAAGTCAATAAAACTGCTAATTACTCATAATATGGGAATGGGAGTGCACAGTGGCCAAGAAGCATACACATTCCCCCCCTCCCCCCTCCCCCATAGTCATTTAGCTCTCTACAATCTCAGACTAGTAACTATTGCCAATGGCAACTCAATCCTTTCCATCGTTCATTTCAGGATCTCTTGTTCTGACATTTGCACTCTTGTTTTTGTTTGTTTTTTGGTTCTAAACCCTTTTCTGATTGGTGCAGCTGTTGAAGATGCTGCAGTCACAGCAGTGTGCATCTGGAACATTTGGCTGACTTGTTGAACCTTCCCCAGGGACTACTCCAGGGAGAAGAGGGGAGGGGTGGAGAGGCCAGAACAGTTGCCTGCAAATAGAGATGCCAATATTGTCTGGCCATTCTGCAGACCACCCTTGTAAAAATTCACCTCATTCTGGCTCTCAGTTTCTTCATTTGCTCTTTGCAGACACATGTTCTTCACTCAAAGCTCTTGCTGCGGTGGAAGAAGAGAAGCTATATTGGCTATGGATTCTCTCATACTGCACTTTCAACGTTTTATTTTTTTAAATATGTTTTATTGATTTCAGAAAGAAGGGATAGGGAGAGAGAGATAGAAACATCACCGAGGAGAAAGAATCCTGAATAGGCTGCCTCTTGCATGCTGTCCCCCACTGGGGATCAAGTCAGCAACCTGGGGAAGTGCCCTTAACTGAGAATTGGACCTTGACTACCTGGTCCATATGGTGACGCTGAATCATTGAGCCACACCAGCCGGGCAGCACTTTCTCCATTTTAAAGGGATCAATATATATTTGTTGAATTAATTAATATATCAAGACACCCTAGGGGACCGTTTTACCCTGCATAGGGCAACAGCACTTCATAGGTGGACTTCATCACTTACATTGAGGCTGCAGACTTACTCCAGGAGTGGGGCTGCCTGTATCCCTCCTCATTCTCACCCTTTGGCTCCCTGGCTCCCGAGTTTCCTTTTCTTTTGGCGCACTATTGGATTGCAAACACAGCAGGCATGGTTTCATTCCAAACCCAGAACTATTTTAATTAGTTTAACGTCTGTTAAACGCTTTGAAGATTGAAAGCAACAGATAAGTACTGGATGATGTTATTAGCAACTGCAGTTAATTGCAAACATTTCTATTAATACTAGTTTCTGCCTCCTTTTATTTGCTCTACTTTCCAAGGTTCTCAAATTCTTCTCAGCCTCCCCCTCTTCCCTGCCCCCGTGCTGGCGCTAAAGGGTTAAATTGGGGCGGAGTCCAGTGATGAACGACAGCAGCAATCGCCAATTGGAATGGAGTAAGCGGGAAGAGCTGGGTGGGGCCATAAGGCTGAGGCAACTCACACACCCCCAGGCTCCGCCTCGAGGCCGGAGGCCCCGGGTGGAACAGCAAGGGGCGGGGCACCCAGGCTTGGCGAGCCAGGTGGTTGGACGCCTGGGCAGCTGTTTGAGGGGTGGGGCGGGGCTGTCTCTAGCCTCCTCCTTCATTCCCTAGGCCGGCCCAGCGGCCCCTCTCTCTCGCCCCTCCTCCTCCTCCCTTTCCCACCCCTCTGAGTGGAGCTGCACATGCGGCTTCTCCCCGCTCTGTCCCGCCCAGCCTCCTTCGCGCAGGAACGGGTCCCTGCAGCCCCCAGCCCATGGCAGGACAGTAGCCGCCTGTCAGGGGTCCTGAAAGGCTGAGGCAGACGCGGCGGCTCCCCGGCCTCAGAGAGTGGGCGTCTCCGGAGGCCATGGGCTACCCCGAGGTAGAGAGCAGGGAGCCCCTGCCTGCAGCAGCGCCAAGGGAGCAGGGGAGTCAGGGCTGTGGCTGTCGCGGGGCCCGTGCCCGGGCGGGTGAAGGGAACAGCTGCCGGCTCTTCCTGGGCTTCTTCGGCCTCTCGCTGGCCCTCCACCTGCTGACATTGTGCTGCTACCTAGAGTTGCGCTCCGAGTTGCGGCGGGAACGGGGAGCCGAGTCCCGCTTTGGCGGCCTCGGCACCCCTAGCACCTCTGGCACCCTGAGTAGACCCGGTGGCCTGGACCCCGACGGTCCCATCACCCGCCACTTCAGGCAGCCTTCACTTCAGCAGCAGCCGCTAGAACCCGGAGAAACAACTCTCACACCAGACTCTCAGGACGGGCACCAGGTGAGTCACTTGGCTGGGGCGGCGGCTGCAGAGGCTCCCTCCCTTTATGGGTAGGACGGGGGCCCTCCCCCGCCGGCCCCTTGGGCGACTCAGCTATCGCCAGCCACGTAGGAGGGCTGGACTGGGAGGGAGCAGGCAACTGGAGGGAGGTTGGTTGTCCTGGGGCAGGTTGTCCCCTTTCCCTCGCCCAGCTCTCAGACTCCCTTGAGACCCGGGACTTGGAAGCCCCGGCTCGCGTCCGCCGCCCCCGGCTGCAGGCTGCCTCGGGGAAAGTTGGCTGAGCTCCCGGCTGGGCCGCCCGTGAGGAGGTGCGGGTGCTGCCCTTCTGGCGGACTAGCGGCTGCAGCTTGGCCCCTCTCCTCTTGGTGAGATTAGATTCTCCGCCTGCGGTGCTTGTTTTTTCGTGTCCAGAGTTGATGCCAGCACTAGCAGGCTCTCATTTGGAATTGGAGCTGTAAACAGCTGTAATAACCGCTCTAGGGCCGTTGAAACAACTTTTAATGATATTCCCAGAGCGGATCCTTGTGCGCTGACCAGATCGTGGGCTTGATCACACTTACCTGCAATTTGAGACTGATTGTCCTGGGCGTTGTACTGAGGATCAGCGCCCCTGAGGAATTCTGGTAGAAATATGCCATTTTGCTAGACAACTTCTGAAGAGCAATTTAAAAAAAATCTATGGAAATGAAACTCCCATTCGGACTCTTTTGGGGGGAGTGTGGTGGAGAGGGGTGTGTGTGTGAAGTGTCTTGCTGTTGCTAGCTTGAGAACAGGAGTCTACTGATGGAATACTCCAGAGTAATCTCTCAAGAGCAGTTGTGTGTATTTGTGTGTGTGTTTCGCAATCTTTATGGTGTTTTTGCCCTTGTTAGCAGCTTTGGTGTTTGTTTTCTAGTCTTTATTCAAGTAAGTTTAGTGCACTTAAAATTAGTACCCTCTTGACCTCCAAGTTTTGTCTTATGCGAAACTTAAGAGAAGCATCCAAAAATCCTTTTGAGGTGGTTAAAGAGTAACAGTGAATTTGTTCCTCTTGGGGAAGAGGGCAAGTTTTGCTAATAAGTTTCTTGAGGGGGGAGACCCAGGCCTTCTATATTAACTACAACATCAGAGTCATTGCCATACTCTATAAATGTTATTTGTGCTGGCATCACATTGATGATAATATTGTAATGTTAGGACTGACACATTTTTCTATGATGTGAATTGTAAAGTTGCCCTGAGCCTTAAAATATATTGCTAGCACACTCCAATTTATATAACAGCTTATCAAATAACAGAATCAGTAGACATGCTTCTCATACTTGAGACTTTAAACACTGTAGCTAAATGATAATTAACTAGAATTCTGGCTCCCTTTATCCACCACCATCTCTAATGCCCAGTAGAAATACGTAGCAGCTAAACATTGATATTATGTGAAAAGATGAAGGAATTTAACTTTTTTAGTCAATTGGTAGCCAAGGCTTCTTGGCATTCAGAGTGGACAGACCCAGGAGGATTGGCAGGACAGCTGTACTCTAGGGCTTCTGTGATGATGTGGGACTCTCGCAGGTCTATGATGGCATTTAGTTGCCTGTTATTTGCATGGAACTTCAAATAGTCCTGCCTAGGTTTAAATACAGCTCCCTATCTTCTGTCCTTTATTCTTTCTGTTTTAATGTTTTTGAGCAGAAGTATGCACACTGGCTCTTTACATTTGCTGACAACAATTTTAGTCAGTTCTTTTTAGAGTTGTGAATGGCCATGAGTCCATTTTGTTTTATTCTCTTGGAGAACACATAGGCTCTGAGGGGGTAGTGACTTGTCCTAGGTGTTGGTCTCTTGACTCCCAGTTAAGTGTCCATTCCCCATCATACTACCTCCTGAAGCCTTTTGGGGGGAAGTGGAGTGGATCTTCACAGTAGAATTTTTCCAAAATAGATGGATCAGTTCTACTCCATCTATGTTTTGGCCACCCTTAACTATGTATTTCTTGCTGAACTCCACTTTCAGGAGAATTGGAACATGCTTTGAAGGAATTTTAGCTCAGCTTCAACTTGTTTATCTTGAGGATAGGTTTTAGTATACCAAAAAGAAAAGAAAAAAAAAAGGTGATTGACTATTAGTTGATATTGCTACATTTTGGGTAAAATTTCTAGTGCCCTGGTGCACCATCTGCTGGCTCTGCAGGGACATTTAATTGCAGTATCTGCTGACAGTCAAAATTCTAAGTTATGCTGACAGATTCTGATTCATAAATAAGGAAGTAAACAGCCTTATGGGATTTGGCCACGTAGGTTACATTTTTATGATTTAATTTTCTAACACAGACAGTTGTTGTTACAGCAACTCTTAGGTGGAGAGAAAGATAAAATAATACACCCTTCAATGGGCAGAACATTCAGGTTTCTCACCAGTTTATTTACAAGGAGTCAAGGCAAACTGATAAGAATAAATTGCAGGATGATCTCTTGAGACCAAATGGGCAGAACTGTCAGAGGCACTTCATTTTTATAAGGCTTTTCAAACCTATCCATGTTTATGATATGATAGACTTAGTTATAACCCAAGAAAGGGATCTAGAAATCACTGAAAGTATATGTATGTCATCTCTCAATTAAAAACACACACACACACACACACACACACACACACACACTTTTAAAACAGGATACACAAGGAAATTAGGGCAATCAGGATACATAAATCAGCAAAGTTCTCCAAGGAAATTGTTATAGGAAAGCCTCCCCAGTGGGGACACAGCTGCTGATCATAAAAAGTGAGAGGGTCCCTTTGGACCTGGAATCATAACTCTCTTTCAGCTGGAGTAGCTGAGTACCTGTAGATTTGTCTGGATAGTTGTGATAATCTCAAGAGAAATATCAGTCTCTGAATTATAAAATATACAATATTATTGTTAGAGTAAAAAATAAAAATCACTATTGATCAGTCTGTGAAGTTGGCCTACTTTTGATTGTGGTCCTCAAAGCCAAGACTGTGGTGGGCATCATAAAGGAAGAGTGTTGAAAACAATGACAAAATAAAACCTTTATCTTTTCCATGTAAAAGATCAAAAGATTGAAAATTTAGATTCACAATCATGTAGGAAATTCTGGTGGTTGCTCCTTAAGAAAAACCTAACAGTTGATATAAGTCCCCAGAAACCCAATTAAATTAATCAAAAGGTTGGAGGGACTTTCCGGTTATTTTTTTCAATCAAGAAAGAGAAAGGTTGAAGGATGAATGTAATGAAAGTCTACTAAACCATGAGAGATATGACTAAGTTTAATATATTGTGGTAATTTATTTAGGTCAATAAATAGAAAGCCTGATATGAGCCAGACACTATAATAGCTACTAAATATATTTTAGTGCCTGAAAGATTATTTGGGTGAGGAGGTAAATAAGAATAGTATTTTATTAAAATGGTCCCCCCCAAGAGATAATATGAATTAAACGCTAAGTTGTACGAAGTATTTAAAAAATATATATGTGTAACTTAATAAGGGTTTATTCGGGCTTGTTGGGGATATTTGGAATATGTTCTTAATTATTTGAGATGATGTTACAGAATTCAAATTTAACTTTTCACAGAACATCTCTTGTTTTAACTACATAGAATTTCAGTTATCCAGATTTCAACATTATTCATTAAGACTGAAAATAACTAGGAATCATTAAATCAAAAACTATTCTTTAGAGCAGTGTTTCCCAAACTTCTCTCATGATAAGAATTACCTGGTGGAGTTGTTAAACTACAGATTCCTGAATCCTAACTAAGAAGTGCTAAACTAGAATTTTTGGGAACATATACCGTAGATAAAATTGTATACTTAACTTAGTGCTCTAAGTATACAATTTTATCAATATGTTCCCTACCTATATGTTCCCTAAAATTCTAGTTTAGCACTTCTTAGTTGGGATTCAGGAATCTGTAGTTTAACAACTTCACCAGGTGATTCTCATCACGAGAGAAGTTTGGGAAACACTGCTTTAGGGGAATGGGATCTTGGTAAAATAGTTTCCCATAGATTTAAATCTAGAATTTTAAGTATGACATTCCAGGTTTTTTACTAACTGGCTCTGTTATAACTATCCCATTTTCTCTCTCAATAACTCTACTCTTTTTAAATAATCAGCTTTATTGATATATAACTTACATACAATAAAATGAATATAGTTTAAATGTATAGGTCAATTACCCCGTATTTTCCGGTGTATAAGACGACTCTTGAAACGAAAAAAAAAGTCAACCGAAAACCGGGGGCAAAAGACCAAAATTGCACAAAATTACCTGCAGATCTTGACGGCAAAGTAAGTCTTTTTTGAAGTGGGGGGTAGTCTTATACAGTGAATATAGGCCTAAACCTATGTTTTAACTGTAAAATTAGGGGGTCGTCTTATACGCCGGAAAATACAGTAGGTGGTTTTAGTTGTTTTTTTAATTATTGATTAAGGTATTAAATATGTGTCCTATTCCCCCATTTCCCCCCCTCAATAACTCTACTCTTGCAACCCACCCACTATACCCTGTCTTGGGATGATTGTGTAGTTGTTATGCCTGTTGATTTTGTTTACTATATCTTATGTCTTTATACTAGAACTCCTCAGAAATCTGACTTTTTTTGTGTGTCTTTTTCCACAGTACCTGATGTACTACTTGTTATGTTTAGAGTACTTAAATATTGTTGAGTTGAATATTATTTGGGACCTTTTAGAGATGTTTATGTAGAACAAATACATTTTCTCTTTATGTAACAGGCCTGTTTTCCTCAGGTCTTGCTAACCCTGTGAATTGTCAGCTATGCTTAAGTGAGTAAGCAGTTCCTTTGGCAATGTTTCACTGATTTCTAGAATCAGTAGAAAGCGAAATGGAGAAGAGTCCTAACCATATTACCTTTAAGATGGTGCAAAAGCTTTCCGTAATGTATCATTTGATGTTTTGTTTTAGTTCTCATCTTTCTTTTTCTGTTTTAGATCTTGTGAAAAATAATATGTAATTGATCTATAATTACCTTGTA